CAGTAACTTGATTTCTTAACAGTATCATCTCACTCAGAGTCTGTCTCTTCTAAGTTTAAATCAGATTCTTTCTTCTTCAACTTCTGAATTCAAGCTGTAGTAGAGATATCTCTCTTCTATAACTTATCAATGAATTTTAAAAGTAGTTAAGTTGAAAGATTGTAGACTGTTTCATTCTTTATCAATTCAATAATTGTAAGATATGATATAAGAAGCTCATGATCTTTAGTATCAGTTCTCTGTAAGAATCTGAGTTTTCTTTCATCTTCTATACTAGATTATGTAGCTGTCTTATCAGTGCTGTTCTCAAGCTTTAGAGAATCTTAACTCTCTGCAGCCAGCTTCTTCTGCAGTGATGATAGAGATTCTTTTATAGAATTCTTCTCTGCATTAATAATATTATAATCAGACTGTCTAGACAGTGTATTAATAAGATTAAGCTGATCTGAATAGTATCAGATATAGAAATCATACTCTGAAAGCAGCTCTACTCATCTGGCTTGACATTCTATCAAGCTCTTTATTGTCAAGAAGTAATGCAGATTTATATAATTAGTGAGAACTTACACTGAGTACTTACTACTCTGAAGATAATATTATCAGATCTTAAAAAATTTGATAATTATTAATATCTTCTAATTATGAGTATTATATCTTCTCTGCATAAGTAATAACTTCTTAAAGAAGAAGATCACTGATTTTTATTCACAGTGTCTTATAGACTCTGTGAAAAAGTCTTCTTTTACAGATAATTCATTATCTGTTTTCTCAGAGATAATTATTCTCTGATTCTTTCAACATTGAAAGATCTTCAGTATCAACTGTGAAAAGATTTCACAGATCTCATTCTCAAATATATCAGTCTCACACTGACTGAGTAAATCAGAATTAAAGTGATTCAGTATTATAACATCTGTAAAAACTTGTTTTAATTTTATAAATATCTATACAGTATCTTGAATAAGAGTAAACAGTCTTATTTTTCTGTCTTTCACACTTCTCTTTAACAGATCTGTAAGAGAGACAGTAATTTATAAATATATATAGATGAATTATCTGTAGAAATTCACAAATTCTAGAAATATCTGCATCTCACAGTATATTTACAGTATTGATCAGTTCTTAATAATAAAGACTCAGCTTCTATTCATTGAAATATCATTTATCTTAATAATATAATCTAAGAAATCAATCTTCTGTATGTAGAATGAGTATTTTTCAGTATTTATATAAAGTTAATACTGTCTCAAGTGACTTAATACTTCTTGAACATGAGTATCATATTCTTTCTTCATTTTTAAGAAGATTAGAATGTTATTTAAGTATACTATATAGAAGATATTGATAAGATCTCATAGTATTTTATTTATATAGATCTGAAAGATAGCTGAAGTATTATAAAGATTAAAAGATAAAATAAAATATTTAAAATTATTATACTTGATATAAAAAGCTGTTTTTTAAATATTATCTTTATTAACTCTGATTCTATAATAGATATTCTATATATCAATCTTTGAGAATATTTTTATTTCAGATAATTAATTAATCATCTTATTAATTAATAATAATGAATAGTAATTCTTAATCATTATCTTATTAAGATCTCTATAGTCTATATATAGATATAGTCTATCATTCTTCTTAAGTATAAAGAGTATAGACATCTCTGTCAGACTCTTTAATAAATATATTCAGTTCTTTGATTACACTTCTTTAAGATATTTATACAGAATATTTAATTTCTTTATAAATAAGTTATAAAGAGATCTGTACAGTACTATTACACTATCTTTAAGATAAATCTTATATTATATCTTAATATCAGAAAACTTCACTGCTTCTCTTTTTAAAAAGACATTCTTAAAATTTATAAAGAGATGTTATATATATCTATCTTTAATAACAGATACTACTGTTAATCTTATAGTAAGAGTGATAACTTTTTCATCTATTTTTAAGTCTCAGTTATCTATTATATAGTATATTAACTCAATCTTTTTCTCAAGATTCTTCTGATGAAACTCTTCAGATTTCTCTATTACTGTCTCTTTATCAGTGAGATAATACTGTCATATCTAAGTAACTCAGTTAATGAGAGAATTATTTTCTCTTAATTATAGAAGATCTAGAATAATATTCTTATCTATAATATTAACTATATAAAGAAGTAGACTACTCTTCTTAAAGATTTCTTCTAAGTCTATAACTACACACTGTGCTTAAATTATGTTAAAATAATGATATTTTATTTTATTAGTAAATTTTATATAATCTGACAGATCTATTTTCTTTCAATTCTTTATTAAAAAAAAGAAATAGAATATGAAATTAATATTCATTCTGAAGTTAAGTAGATTACTTACTAATATCTTCTTATTTAAGATATGTATTATAATTGTAATATAAACTTAGAAATATAAGAATTATTAATTCTTTATTTCTTTCTCTTCTTTATCTTTTATAAATATATTTATTAGAAGAGAAGTTAACTTTGAAAAGATATCTTCTCAATTTCTTCTCTTCTTCAGCTTCTTATAATTACTGATATAGTAATTATTAACTCTGTAGTTAAAATAGAGATCTTTATTAAATCTTTTTTAATATTTCTTTATAGTGAGTGAAGAATCAGAATACTTGAAATTCTTCTTTACTTTCTTTATACTGAAGCTGTCACAGCACTGTTTAAATTCTATTATTAATTACTTAGAAGAGATCTTATTAATCTTTTTCTCAGAGAATTAATTATTTAAATAGATTCAGAAAGTCAGATTAATAAACTCAGTATAATTAATTAATAAACTCTGATATTATAATATTATTATCTGTATCTTATAAGTCAGCTTTATAAGATAAAGCTGTATTTTTAATTAATTCAAATTATTAGTTAATTTCTCTTAATATTCTTCAAATCTTATATTAAAATTAAAAGAATTCTTATTATCTTATTAATATAATAAGTTGAACTGCTATACTGTTATAAAGCTATAATTATAGTAATCTTTAATTTAATTTAGTAGAAAGTTCTTGAATTCTTTTTAAGTTATAATAGTATTAATATACTTAAGCTCTCTCTTCTTAATAACTCAAGTAGTTATAGAGATGTCTTTAAGAAGATTGATAATATAGATTACTTATATCTCATAAGTATTATACTAACTCAGATTAAGATAGAATTTTTATTCAAGAGTATAAATAAAGCTGTGAAATTCAGATAAGATATTTTTCTTATATCTCAGAGAATCTTTAATTTTAATCTCTCTATCTTTATAATAGATATAGATGTGTAGAGACTGCAGCAGTAATAAAATAGTTAAAGAGCTCATATTAAAATATATAGTAGATTCAGAAATCTCAGATTTCTACTGAAGTAGAGATGTACATACTCTAGAGAATAATATAGTATTTTCTTCAGAGAATGAGATCAGATCAGTCTCAGTATAAGTGTATAAGATTATATCAGTCTATTAAAGCTCAACTGATTCAAACTTATAATTAGAATCAGTAATTCAAATTATAATATAACAGAACTGAAGCAGTGACTAGTCAGTAGTATTATATAGAGATAGTTATTTAAGAAGTTATATAAGTAAGCTTGACTATCTTGCTTAAATAGTAAGCTTATAGACTACAGAGTTATTATAAGAATATCACAGATATAATACTTAGTATACTAAGAAGATTGTATAAGATATACAGTAACTCTTATATATATTTCAGTAGAAGAAAAATGAATCACTGACTTCTTTGATAAGAAGTCAGTATCTAGTTATTCTATATAGACAATGAGTGAATACTCTTTCCTCATTTCATGAGTGAGAATAGTCAGAGCAATACCTCAGCAGTGTCTCATTACCAAGGAAGAGTAATCTGCTGACCTCATATAGAAGCAGGGTTCTCATATCCATCAATCGGATCTTCCTATGATATATCCGAATGATGTCATAGGGTGGTTGGAAACCGGTTCGGACGGGATGGAATCATCCGCATGGGATCGATGGGCCGTGTGGAACCGCAACGGGGCCTTGGCGCGGCCGGGAGCGTGACAAGATATCAGACATTTTCAACTGTATTCAACTATTATTAAATCTATAACAGTAAACGTTCAGACGGTGAGTACGCGGCCGCATCCGGCCCTTGCCCTTGCGCCGCTTCCCCAACGGGTCTGGCGTCCCCCCGTCGACCCTGCCCATTGGCCGCGTCGACCCTGCCGTCGCCTGTTCGGGTTTGGCGCCCCTCGAGCTCGCCGCTTTGAGTTACATCATCGATCTGTTCCAGGAGCCTATATAAGATCGCTCCTCTTCCCTCTTCGACCACGCACCTTCCATCTTCTCAATTTTTTCTCTCCTCGCCTCGCTCCCTCCCCTTTCCCCTTACTGCTTCCCCCTTTCGCCCTCCCACAGCCTGCTGCAGCATCGCCAAAAAAAACATCTGCCGATCTTCCTTCCTCGCGGTTCCCATTCCCCCCCAAACGAAATCCCTTCTAGGCTCCCCGTCCGCTCCCGCCTTTCCCCCTATTCTCTGTCGTCTTGGAAGGACTGTGTCAATCTAAAGATTACATTTACACGACACACGCACCGCCTCTGCTTGAGGACAACAGGCTTTACTCTCTCTGAGTGTTTCCCTCGCTCCCTGTGTGCCTCTCATGTCCCCTTGCAAGGGGCTTTCTCCGAGTCTCGTGCGATAACATCCCCATTTCCTCACATTTCTTCTTCTAGCTCTCTTTCCATCCGAACTCCAATTTCGGCACATGCGCGCTATGCTAATAACCAATGGCAGAAATCCCTCACGTCGGCGAAACCCGAGGTTGCTTGGATCCAACATCCCGCCAGCGGCGTAGCGACACTCGGCTGGACACTGGGATGTAACATGGGACGCGCGTTCCTATCATTGCGGGTGCATGCCCGTTGTGCTCTTGGCCAATGGCAAAAATCCCTCATGCCGGCGAAACCCGAGATTACGTGGATCCAACGAGCCCCCTTCCCTGCGACGTAGCGAGATTACGAGGCACGCGACAGAACGCTACGAGGTGACGTGGGAGGGGGTGTGGACGCAAAGTGCCGCCTTCGCTGAGCCTCCGGCTGGTATCGATAGTTCCGTTGGCCCCTCTGAAATGTTGGCCGTGGATCCTTGTATCCAAGCGCGGTATCCCGTCTTCGCATTGCCTGCCACGCCCAGGCCCACGATTCTGTTGATTGGCGAGGGGTGTCGGCAAAACCGACGCTGAGCTGTTTGCAGCTGAGGGCGCGAGGGAACCGGGGGCGCAGTGATCGTGTGACGATGAGATGGGGCCTCCTGCATAATCCAAGGCCGTGGGCGCCAGCGCATGTGCCTGTTATTCCGTACTTAATTCGTCGACGATTCTCCGCCCCCATGACCAACCTGTGTCCATCCTCGTGGATAACGCAAGCTTGTCTCGCTCGTTTCCGGGCGTGTGCTCGATGGTGAACTTTCGATGGTCCTTAGCTCAGGCCTGATCAACGGTGTGGTCTGGAGGAACCCTGGCTCAATGTTGCATTCATTTGTTGCATGGCGATCGATTACCGTTTTGCGGGTGGTTCCCGGTGTTGAAGTGAGGAGGCAAGGCGTTTTCCGACGAGGCTGGGGTCTATCCACGAGACTTTCGTAAACTTTGGGCGCTCTGCCGATGGAGGAGCTTTTCCCGTTGTCGCTCTATAAAAGCGCCGGATTTTCCCCTCCCAAAAGCACCGATCGCAGAGCGAGAATCAAGGTTTCTCCGAAACCAAAATCAGAGAGCAAAGCCATGCCCGCAGTCACCATGGACAAGATCCAATTCTATCAACCTCCAAATCCCATGAGTGCAACCGAGCTACAAGGACCGAACCTGCCCGCAATCTCCACACCCCCCAAACCCCCAGCACGTAGACCCAATCCCACCGCCGACGCTTTCACTTCCCTATTATGTCCCTCACAGCAGCTCAGACACCCTTTGCCCCCCCGCCTATTCCCCTCTGTTACACCTCCCATCTCTTCTCACCCTGCAGGCCAACGGTCTCAGCCACCCGAAACTCCAGAAAATGACTTTGACAGAATTTTGGAGGGGCTCTCGTCGTCCGACGGGAGCCAACCACTTGGCGGGGACGGGAGAAATGCCGACGAGCACCTCACCATCCTCTCCGGATCGAATCTGAGCGGTTTTGCCAGCGACCGCCTTGGTATGCCTGTCGAGGCGGATACGGCTGCGGAAAGTGCCACTGAAGCCGGCCTTCGCGCATGCCGGTTGGGTGGACGTAAGGGTCCGTCTCTAGACCTGCTCACGATATGTCTTTTCAATCCGCTAACCTCGGTCCTATTTCAGATGGCCCCATTGTGGTAGATGGGTCGATGGAGATAGGTCACGGTGGGGAACCCACAAGCGAGTCTGCAGGTGGACAGACTTCTCCGCCACCGCTGCCTGCCCGCGAAGCGCCCACCGATCAAGGTGACGAGCTAGACGGGATGGCGGATGATGGTGGAGCCTCATTGACTCCCCGAGAAGTTCCAGGTCAGCTTCCCAGCTTCAATTACCGTCCCGCGTTCTCCCGCTGATCTTCTACATGCAGAAACCCCTCCCCCCCTTACCATGGGCGAAGTGGGCACTTCCGCCCGCGCACCCCACGACAGCGTCTCTCCACATCCAGGGGGTCGGCCTCAAATCTCGGCTGGCCACGCCGGTGCGACACAGGAGGAGTGGCTGGTCAAAAGGATACTGGATTCCCGGATCCGCGTGCGGAAGGGCAAGCCGCCACGCCTGGAGTACCGTGTTGCATGGCGGCCTACGTGGCAACCGCGGAGCGATCTGATCCCGGGCTGCGAGGAGCTGGTCAAAGAATTCCATGCAGAGTGGAAGGACGAGCGGCCTTCACTGACTACTCTGACAGGCCACATGCGTTTCAAGCAGAAAAGGGGATCGCGCAGGGACGGTGGACGCAAGATTGTAAAATCAATTGGTTAGAAGCTTTGTCTGCGTACATGTCAATATCAATTTCGGCTCTGATTTGTTCCATACTTTGCCTGTCTTGATTGTTACTTCGTTGGCTTTGGTTCTCTTTGTTTGATCTTTGTTTGCTTAGCATATTTGAATCCAGCCCACGAGCTCCATTGACATCGCCTATCACATTCCAGCCGAGGGTCTATCTTGCCTACGCCCATGGTATGGTACTTTCTTTGTGCGTGTTCCTTTGTTTGTGTCTTTGTTTGCTTGCTCTTCCCCCTCCTTTCTTTGCCTCTCACTTTGGGTTTTTCTTCCATTTCCGTTCGTCTATTCTGTCTAGATCCGGAGAGAAGTATAAAAGCCTCCTCGGTTCTGGGTATCTATATGTATATTCTTAAAGCGTAATATATCATACGCCGCAAATCGACAAGATATTCGCATCTCAGCAGAAACCCCGTCGCTCTTCTCACCTGTGATAGAAGTTTTAAAAGAATTCACCGCAATGCAGAATGCCAATCATGGCGCGCGAAGATCTTCATCAACCGCCTCGGACGTCAAGGGCGGCGGCAATACGTCTCGGCGAGACGAAATCATGGAGATCCATAGCCAGGCGCTCGAAATGATTGAAATACTTTAGCGAATGTCCACGATACTCGAGGCGATAGAAAGGGGGAGTAAAGAACGATATGATGCTGCCGATCCACGGGCCTCTGCGAGAGAAGATCGGGATGATTTGAGTGCCGGTAAGCATTATTTCCATATCCAGTGGGCTTTATTGCTGACCGTTCAGCAAGGTACGTCGAGAATAAGTACAAGGAACGCAGGTTAGGGGAATGTGCTTATTACGACTATGCACATGTACATCTGCGATTCAAAACGAACTACTCATTTGTGGTGCTGATGGGATATAAGGTCATACGGCTACTTCTCGGTTCACTATCGTGGCGGCAGTTTCTCATAACGTGCATTAAAAAGCTCCTGAAAACCACCATACCTTTGGGCTGCGGCCATTCATGAAATATTTACTGGGGCTTATATATCCTTGTGATCATCTAGCGATTTAGTAAGCCGTCTAAGTGGAGTGGACATAATTCGCCACGAACAAGAGCAATCATTAATTCTATTTAGTATCAATTAGAGCTCAACTATCATTGCCTCAATGTAGGATCATATAACTTTTTTGGGCCTTGCGGCATTCCAACAATCTCATAAGTACACCTCGTATGACTTTCCAGAAAATCAATATTTTCGTCAAAGATGCTATATTAAAAGACAAAACAAAGAGAATTCACGCTATCAATACGTAGAATCTTTACTAGTTTACAGCATCTGAGTTATCCTGTGCATGCTGAAGTGTTCCAATCATGTTCCGGGATCATATGATGAATGGAAGCAAACATGTGAACAAAAATGCAGAATAGTTAGGGAGTTATGATGTATTGATACCTGCGAGAGAAGTTAGTTCGCTGGGAACAGATGCTGATACATATAATCAAAGGGAGGATTATGGCCAAAGGGTTGATCCGGCTTGGCTTTGATGCACAACTCGAATGTGGGAACGGGATAGAGCAAGGAGCCAGGTGCCTATTTCGCGACGGAATGGTAACAAGCGCGAACAAAACAGGTATTGAGGAAAGCCGGCTATTCCCATTTAAGGAATAAAAGCAGGCCAACCAACCCGTCGTTTCTGGTACTGGAAGGGCGCGGGACCGAACTATTTCAGTCTAATTGTGGCGGGTTTGAGAGATTTCGGAATTTGGGAAGTTTTATGTATCTGGGATATCTGGGAAATTTGGGAAATCTGGGGATAACCGGACACGCCGCAGCGATTTATTTCACCATCATGCAACTACACTAATTTAAGGACCTACCCTTTCCCAAATATCCCAATTTTGCCATTTTTCCCACTCTTGCGACCATGCTATCCAATCATCCTTTTTGAATAAATATGGATAATTACGTACGGTACAGTGACAATCACGCCTGGCATACACGAACCTGGGGGTGATAAAGCTATAATGATAGTACGGCAAGCCACAATTTTGCCCTTCAAGCGACATCTCTCTAATCGATTGTTCCAGCTGCGCTGGGGTTTAGGGACAGCAAACTTAGCATCTAGATTTCTTTTTCCTGAGCTGTCTGCCAATCGGACCGCCAAACGGAAGCGATAATTGTCCATCCATCATGGCTGATAGCATCTGATATCAGGGCGACCTCTGGTACGGCGAGATGTGCCGCGGACAGTTCGACACGGCTAGTTCTCAGATCGACAAAAGTCCGACGAGATCGAGACCGAGTCCTATAGCACAATTCACGTAACCCGGATAGCTGGGTGATTCGCTATGCAGAGCAGAAGACAGCAAGCTTTCCCCAGCGGGTTGTCATATCACGTGGTCGAGACCATGTATCCTGCGGCACAGTTTTATACACACTAAATTTGGGAGAGCGACGGCAAGCTCCTCCCGTATCCACGTGGCCCAAGCTGAAGGAGGAGACGACAAAAGAATAGGTGCCAGGAGTGTCGACAGAATGGCATACAGTTTCCCCCGAAATCCTGAGGCAATGAACAGATGTCAGGCAAATTCTGTGAGGATATATAGAGGTGGAAGATCCGTATGCTCCGAAATTGGATTGAGACATCTAAGAGCTAGAACCCCCTTGATGCCATTGGATTTGAGTGAATGCCATCTTATCCTTCGAGGATTGCGATAGAGTAGATATGTTGAGTATCACGGTGGTTGGTGTATGATATTGGGGATCCCACCTCTGTTGAATAGAACAACAACAATAACAATGAACACACCACTATCACTTGCTTCAACAAGATATTTCATTCTCCTCGGTAAAATCCTAGGTGTCGACCATAGGCGCATTTGTTGGGTGATATGGATTATGCCTTGGGTGCATCGGTGGGCGTCAGGCCTTGTGGTGCATCAGCCTCGTGGGCGTTACTCCCCTGTGGGCGTCAGGCCCTTGTTGTTGAGTATCACGGTGGTTGAAACACGTGTAAGAGATCTGAAACTTGTACGTCTGTATGTATATATATATATTGGGGATCCCACCTCTGCTGAATAGAATAACAACAACAATGAACACACTACTATCACTTGCTTCAACAGGTTATGAGCCCGGGCTCGCACCTAGCATTCTTGGACATACCATATACAGCTAAGTTTCCCTGCCAAGTGATAGACTGATGATACCCAGGAATCTGACAACCGATGATAGTGACTCGATGAAGAATGTCGAAAGGAAAAAAGGAGCTTAAGAAGACTTCAGAAGGAATTAAAGCAGTGAAAAATTTCATTCCGCAATGAATACTGTGACAGACCTCAAACAGTTCTCCCCCTGCAGATCATCAACTGAAACCATGATGAAGCAAAGGGGTCAAGTCCCAGTCGCACACTACTTAACCCACCTTCATCGCCAAAAGTACTCGTGAGATCAAGAAGAAAAAATGCCACCGGCACGTCGGATGACACATTCTTCCAGCTCCTCGCACCTACAATCCAACAAAATAACTGTCACGCGGCAGCGCTCTCATCGGTGGACAGACGAAGAACTCAACCTTCTAGCATTCGGCCGTGCTAGTCACTGGCCGTATGCTTTGATCCAAAAAGGATACTTCCCAACATACACAGTGAAGTCAATCTCTGGAAGGTATGAACGCATGCCCGCTAAAGAGCGCACACGACGTTCATCAATCGCTGCTACTTCAAGTATCGCCACTCGCCAGTCTCCTCGGGGTAGAAAACCTGTACACCCGGCACCAATACAGGAGCCGAGACGATCAGCTCACTCCCTGGCTGAGGCTGAAGACGACACCGACATCTCTACAAGTCACGAGGAGGACAGTACCCCCTCGGGATCCATCGATCGAACTACAAATCGGTACAACCTTCGGTCGAACAGACCTAAAACCTTTCGGACAGGCAACCAGCGATACCTGGTTAACCGCATCCACTTTCCTCATTTCTTCCAATCATACAAGAAACACTTGAAACTGCGCAGGTTGCCAGACAGGGACTACACCCCTCCATCCCATTCGCCTACACCAGGCCCGTCGGACCGCAGTCTTTCCGTCGTATCAGGTCCGCCTAGTGCCGTATCAAGCCTAGAACTCTTTGGCTTGGAAGCACGTTCCATCAGTCCATCGGACTGTGCCTCTTCTGTTACCCCAAGTCGGTCCAGCGACGCGTCAACTTCAGAATTTTTCAGTTGTGACTAGCTATCACCGGCGCCATGACTGACATTGCTAAGTTTGAGCAGTTTGGCTTAAATACGTTTTACAATGTCATTCCAACATTGGATAATGCTGGTGATTGGTTCCAGTGGAACCAGAAGGTCAATGAGTTCATCCGAATATCCGCTGTCGCCGATGATGGAGTAACTCCGCCGGCGGAGGAAGAGGAGGCGCGGCGGTGGACCCATCGCCAAAAGTTCTACTCTGCAATGATCGCGGCCAAGCTGACGCATAATGCAGCACAACGAATCAAGGCCTCTGAGATATCTCAAGTTGAGACCCTCATCAAAGCAGTAAAGAATAACTTCAAACTGGAGGGCACTGGAACATACGTCAATCTCCAGCGACAGTATATGTCCCTCATGAGAGAGAAATGCGGAAGCGTGCAAGCCCTAGAAGCTGAGATCAGGAAGATCCACGCTGAAAAGCTTCTACTCAATTCAGACTGCATAACCTCAGAAATCAAGTGAACATTCTTCTTCATGCATGCACTTGATCTGGAGTATGAAAGCTTCCGCGACCATATATTTAGACAGATGGACCTTGTTAATGAAAGGGACATGAATGGAGCTGTTACAAGAGCAGCACCCTCATTCAACTATATTGAAAACAAGGCAATTGAGGAAGAGCACAGAAAGGGCCAACTAGGCAGACAACTCACTGAGGCGCGGGCACTTCCTGCTCTCGCCCTGGTACAAGGGCCAGGCGAGAAGAGAGTTATACTGTCATCAGACTTAAACACATGTCAAATTGAGATTGATAATGTTCCGTACTGCTCATTCTGCCGGAAGCCTTATCATAGAGACTCGGGATGTTTCAGCAAGAACCCCGGACTAAAGGATCAGAAGAGAGATGGAAAGAAGCCAAGGCCGAGGCCGGGCAGTTCATCTACAGGCGCATTGAAGTCATTGAAGAGGCAGTCCACCACTGACAATGAAGACAATGATGTGGGTGGTCCAAAGAATTCAAAGAAACCCACCTTCATGGCGATGAGGGCCACAGAAGAAGATGTCAATGCAGCATTCAGAAAGGACATTGAAGGGAACCTTGCCATATTTAGTCACACCCTCGCAATGATGGCTACAAAGACATTCTCAATCCACAACGCTTGGATTGTTAACAGTGAATGTGCTCAGCACATCTGCAACAACAGATTGAAGTTTGTCCAGCTGAACAATTATTGTGAGCTGCCGCTCAGGAGTGTTGATGCCTCGACAGCCTCACTGAGAGTGGGAACAGTGAACATCCTCTGCAGTGTACAAGACAGAAGGAAATGGCTTGTCCTTGACAACATCCTATTTGTCCCATCAGCACACGCAAACCTCATATCTGTGATGCAACTGCTCAAGTGAGGAGCCAAGATTGAGTTCTCAAGTCAAGGTGCATGTATTCGCAGCAAATCAAACGGAAGGAATCTGTACACTGCAAGCCAGTATCAGGGGATCTATGCCCTCGATCTATGGGCCAGTCTCACCTTTCCAGCTTACCATGTCAGTCCTCAAATGAAGCTCTGGCACAATTGGCTAGCTCACATGAGTGATACAAATCTACAGCGTCTTAAAAGGCAAGCCTACAGTGTAAGAGATGTAGAGCCGAGGCAACCATGCAACCCATGCCTCCAGGGCCGAATGATTGAGAAACCCCACAGTCGCTCAGCACCGCATTGAAGAGGTGAATACTCAATGAAACTACTTCATATCGATGTTGCAGGACCATTTGATGAGGGACTCGATGGCAGTTGCTATTGGCTCACCATCATCGATGATTCAACCGGTTGGATAGAGATCATCCCCATATCATGATGGCAAGGATTTGTCATTGAATCACTCTGCTTCTTCATCAACCACAACAAACATTCTGAATGAAAATGCAGATGAATACACCTCGACCGGATCCCTGAACAAGTGGGAGAAGAAATGAAGTTCATACTTTTCTCTCGGGCAATTAAGGCTGAGGTCATCAGCATGGATCAACATCAGCAGAACAGTGTTGCTGAATGAGCTCATAAGACAATCTATGATTGAGTTGGACCCACACTGGCCCATGCAAAACTTTCATTCAAGTTCTGGCCAGAGATCACACACACTGCAGCTTTCCTCTCTAACCAGTCACTGTCATCAAGGCTTAACATGACACCGTACCAAGCGTGATACAGCGAGAAACCTGACCTGTCACAACTGAGAGTGATTGGATTCAGGGGGGAATACCTGATCCCACCCAAGCAAAGGAAGAAGCTCACGGAGCCAAGAACAAGGTCATGCATCCTGCTAGGCTATGAAGAAAACACCAACTATCATATCTTGCTGGAGGATGGAAGAATCATTGGGACCTCAAATGCTGAATTTCATGAAATCCTTACAAACCCCTCCACGCAGACTCTAGAAGATGTGGGAGCCAGACTGAACAGCTTACCTGAGGCAACGGCTGCTGCCGCAGGGGGGAACAAGACGGCTGGACAACTGGACCAACCGTCTGTAAGCATACGGCAAGCATCCGTACCAGTCTCTGGGCGCCAAGTGTCGATGGCAGCACCAGAGCGGATACTACGCCGGTCGAGTAACGAGAACTCGCAAGTATATCAGTCGAGTGACGATGACTCGCAGGAACAAGTGTCGTCTCAATCGAGTGACGATGACTCGCAGCCTAATGTTGCTGAACAGGGAGATAGGACCTTGTCGCCGATACGGAGTGACGACAGTTTTGGATCATTTTCAGATTTTATACAGGATGATTTCCAGACGAGTGAGTCACTGACCGACGGCGACCAGCGACAGGACGACACTCAACAACGAGCGCTACCCCAGTCGAGTGACGATGACTCGCAGCCTACTGTTGCTGAACAGGGAGATAGGACCTTGTCCCCGATACGGAGTGATGACGCCTCTGGATCCCTCTCGGATACTATCCAAGATGATCTCCAGGGAAATGACTCATTGCCCGGCGGCGACCAGCAACAAGGCAACGCTCAGCAGTATCAAGTTTCAGGAGGATGGCAACGATATCCAGAACTCCAACTTGACCGATCAGTTCATGTCGTGCAACAAGAAGCACTAGAACGACATCCTGAACTGAAAACCCGTGCCTTACAGGCGACACAGGATACGTCTAATGATAGCGAGGAAGACCTTGCACTAATGAACGTACCTGAAGGGAATACAATCCCAACATTCTTAACCATCACTGCAGAAGAGATGGAACCCTTTGAGCTCAAGACTCTTCAGCAAGTGAAGAATGATGCAAGCTGGCTTGAATGGGAAAAGACAATGCTTGAAGAGGTCAATTCACTCAAACAAAACAAAACATGAGAGCTTGTTGATCCTCTCAAAGACCGGCGGACTCTGAGTGGAAAGTGAGTCTTCAAGCTTAAATGTGAACCTCATGAGGAGGTCATCCATCACAAGGCAAGATAGGTAGTGAGAGGGTTCACACAAAAAGAGGATGTCAATTATGACAAAACATTCACTTCAGTTGTCAAGCCAATGAGCTACAAAGCGCTCTTCGCAATTGAAGCTGCTCTGAGTCTTGAGATTGAACAAATGAATGTCAAAACGGCATTTCTCTACGGCGAAATTGACCATGAGATCTACCTCAAGCAGCCTCATCACATGACAGATGACATGCCAAGGGTCTGCAGGCTCCGGAAGGCGCTCTATGGCCTAAAGCAGGCTCCTTGTATCTGGTATCAGACCCTTACAAACTTCCTGCGCGGTCTCAGCTTCGAGCCAATCAGCACTGATCTTGGAATATTCATGCGGAGCAACATGTATATCGCGGTGTATGTCAATGATCTCTTGATTGTGAGGCCAAGTATTGCTGAGATAAAAAGAATCAAGAGAATCCTCAGAAATCATTTCCAAATGACAGACCTCAGACCATGTACCTATTATCTTGAGATGTTCATCCAGTGAGACTGTCAGAACAGAATACTGTACCTGAGTCAAGAAGCCTACATCAACAAGATGGTTCATCAGTTTGGAATTGACAATTGTGCTCCCGTCAGCACACCCATAGAGACCTCACCACTGCTGGACAACAGCCCAGAATACAGCTGTCCCCCATATCAAAGAGTTGAATATCAACACATTATAGGATCTCTCATGTACATCATGCTCGGGACCAGGGGAGACATCGCATATGCGGTCTCTATAGCGAGCAGATACCTAGTAAATCCTGGACCCCAACACATAAAACTTGCTCAGCGCATTCTACAGTACCTCAAGGGCACAAAGAGACTCAGACTCACCTATAAGGGCCACTCTCAAATGCTGAAGAGCTTTATGAATGCTGACTGGGCTGGGTGCCGCGACACTTGACAATCAACAGCTGAATACCTCTTCAACATCAGGAGTGGAGTGATCAGCTGGCAGTCCAAACACCAGAGCATTGTCGCTCTATCAACCTGCGAGGCCGAATTCCTGGGACAGACACAAGCAACCAAGGAAGCAATCTGGCTGAGAAGACTTCTCAACAAGTTGAATATGAGCCAAGGAAAAGCTGCAACGATCATCTGTGGCGACAATCAGGGAGCCATCGCTCTGTCATCGAACCCACAATACCACTCACGTACCAAGCATATGGAAATACAACATAAATGGCAAGGAGAAGTCCAAGATGCGGAGATGGTTGAACTGAAGTATATCCCAACTGCGGAACAAATTGCCGATGGGTTCACCAAGCCTCTTGCACGAGACAGATTCGAATGGTTCCGGAGAGGGCTTGGCATCGAATGATACTCGCAGCCTGGCCTTAGGTAGAAACGAGACCGATGGGCACCCTTTCCTTCGTTCTTAAGGTTTTCCTTCTTGAGTTTTTCCTTTTGAAAAAGGTTTTAACGGGGCCTGTTACGACCGTGATGAATGATCACTGGCAACCTTGACGGTTGCCATCGAGTGGGAGTGTTGAGTATCACGGTGGTTGAAACACGTGTAAGAGATCTGAAACTTGTACGTCTGTATGTATATATATATATTGGGGATCCCACCTCTGCTGAATAGAATAACAACAACAATGAACACACTACTATCACTTGCTTCAACACTTGTGGTGCATCGGCCTCGTGGGCGTTACTCCCCTGTGGGCGTCAGGGCCCAAAATAGAAAGTTAACTTTTATAAGTTGACCTCAAAAGTTAACTTTTAAATCCACTGGGGTATAAATATCCAGCAAAAATTCACTTTGGATGTTGTGCTGTGGCCGGTACTTCGACGCACTGTCTCCGTTAGTGTGGATGCTATTTGAACGAGCAATGGAACTCACAAGCTCTGCGCAATTGCCTAAAAGCATCAATCCTCGAGCGGCTCGATTCTAAATGGTCGCCTTTCTCGTGCAACCAAAGAGATTTGGCTGAAGCGAACTCTTTTCCACACTGAAAACAGTATCTCCCGTCCAGTTGACAAACCGGTGGCTAAGATCAGCTGTATTTCGGCAAGTTATCGGCAGTCTCTGGTGCTGACATCGTGCAGCATGGGGCACTTTGGTGCAGGTGTGGCCGAGACTCGTGTCGGTCATGTTGCTGATGGATGAATTGGTATTTCAATGCTTAGCTGTACTTGTGTCAGTGATCGGCAACTGAGGCTTAACAAGGCCATAGACACAGTAATGCTTGAATTCGGCGTAGCGGAAATTTGCACCGTGGACAAAGCACAGTAAAATCCCGGCCGGTGATTCTTCCAGGGCATCCACTGCCCCACTAGAATGCAGCAGCGACAAACCACCCGGGCGACAACATAGTAGCCTCTGGCTTTCTTTCAAGCTATGTGACCAAGGTTCAAAGTGTGCTACACTATAACATTCTGTCACAAGAAGGCCGGCTGGCTCCTGCGGGTGAATGCAAACAGTCTGTTGAGCCCCGGTTGAGAAGAGCAGCTGTCTGTATACTTTTGCTGCAAAGTGCTTAGAAATCTATATCACACATCCGGAAAGTTCCACTTCTTTTAGGAATAGAGATTCAATGGTGGCATGGAGTGTGTGATAAATTGGACCACTGAACTGTCAATCTAGCTGAATGAACAAAAGTTTCTTCCCTCCCTTTTTTACCCGCATCGTCTATGTGGGGAGAATGGAGAGCACAAGCCACCTGGAAAAACATTTTTCCTAGCCCCACAATTCCAAGCTGTAAAAGTGATTACTAATACCTGATGTTCTCCCTCCGTTTGAGTTAACAACATCTTCTGCTTCATTACTTTGCTTATTGCACTGAATATCTTTACCTGCTATGTATAATGGCCGACGACGAGATTCAGAGACTGCACCAGCTTTTGGAGAACGAGAAACGACGTCGGCAAGAAGCGGAGCAGGCTCAACGGGAAGCGGAGCAGGCTCAACGGGAAGCGGAGCAGGCTCAACGGGAAGCGGAGCAGGCTCAATGGGCATTAGAAGAACAAATACGGCCCTTAACACTCTTTGAATATCTTGATGCCTGCCACACTTATCTCTTTGGGGGTCTTGTCCCTGGCAAACCCGACCATTCAACCAAAGGGAATGCTGACAATGCTAATGGTAAACTTTGTCCTCATCGCATCCGCGAATGGCTTCCGTTTGCCGATGCACAGACGAAAATATGGGCCCGGTTGCTGAATGATGAGAATGAAGGTTTCATTATGCAGCGCAAATTTGACTCCTTACATGCAATTATGGCTATGGGAAAGAAAACAAGAAAAAACATTCACTCAGAAATCGACCTTCGCTATTTTCAACGGGATGCCATCACAGCGCCCGTAGGGTCGGTAATAGAGGTCTTCTTTGAGAATGAGCAGCTCCGACAGTTATTTGGGCTTCAGGGACAAATCATCTTTGAAAACCACGCAAATACACTTATCAACAGTGAGGAGGATGAGGGAGTTGTGGCGCGTCCATCAAAGCTCCGGAAAGGAACTGAAGGGGCTGCAACATCTATCACCCCTCCAACTTCGGCCTGACCTCTGGCAGATGAGTTTTGCATTTACAATAAAGGTGAGAATGTCAAAATTCCTGCCTTGATTGGTGAACTCAAGCCACCACACAAGCTCCCACTGGCAATTATTCAAAATGGACTTCAAGAAATGGAGCTTGCTGGGATAGTCGAGCGTCATCATGATGAGACAGAGGAAGTTCGGCATCGTCGTTTGGTTGCTGCAGTCATCACCCAGGCATTCTCTTACATGATCAAAGCCGGCGTTGAATACAGGTATGTGAGCACTGGTGAAGCATTTATTTTCCTTCACTTCAAAGCCGATGAACCAGGGATGGTATATTATTATCTTTCAGTCCCCGAGCAAGATGTGGGCAAGGAAACTGGATTTACCGGAGAGGCTGAAGATGATGACAACAGGTTACATATGACAGCAGTTGGGCAGGTTCTTGCGTTTGCACTTCGAGCAATAAGGACTACCCCACATGATCAAAAATGGAAAGACTGGGCCGCGAGTCAGTTGAATATGTGGGTGGTTACAGAGGAAGATTTATATTTTCCAACGCCAGAAAAGGATGAGAAGCCTCCAACACCTTACAGGCCACTGAAAAGTGCTCAGATCTTTGCCAGGAATAGCCCTGTCCGCACCCGATCGAATGCCGCCCGGTCAACGTGCAAACCAACATCTTTATCGCAGAAGAGCAGTGGGGACGATAGCGAGTCTGACCCTGATTCTCCTAGCCAAAGACCTCGCCGTCCTGCGGATGTCATGGTTGTGATTCCTCCGCCACCTAGCCGGGTATCGTCCTACAAGGGGCCTGTTTGTAAGGATGGAACTCGGCGATATTGCACGCAAAAATGCTTGCTAGGTCTCTTGAATGGTGGGCCGCTGGATATGGCCTGTCCAAATGCCAAAGAGCATGGAACAGAAGTCCATAAGATCGACCACCCCACTTTCCTCTCCCTTCTCATGGCACAGATACTACAAGAAATAGTAGATCCTTGGACCCAGCCTCTGGGTTGTGAATCGCTGCATAGACACAGTGCTCGTGGTGCACTGTTTGAAGTCATTCTTTTTCAATACGGGTACACTCTTGTAGGAAAAGGCTTCCGCCCACGCAGGCACTGAAGTCTTAAAATGTGAAGTTGCAGATGTTCAAATTGTGTCTGCTGCATCTGAGGCATTGCAGGCCATTCATGCGCTGGGTGTACTACACCATGATGCGGAAACAAGAAATATGTTTTGGAGTGTGGAAGGTCAGAGTGTGCTGGTAATTGATTTTGAAAGAGCGGAGATACTTCGCCCTGAAAGAGAGCCTTTAGGAAACACATCACCGAACCAGAAGAGAAAGAGGAGGGTCGAAAATATGGGTGGAGAAACAAAGCTGGATGTGAGACATAAGCAGCTTGACGCTAAATTTGAGAGAGAGCTGAAGGCGATGGTGCGGTCCTTGAATACATATCTCAAGTCATGATAGTGTCCCTGCCATTGTGTGCTTTGCTGTTGTCAACATTGGAGGGTGTTGTACGCAACTCTGCTCACACCTCCTCTATCTTCCAGTGCCAGTTCCTGATTACTTGTTCTGTGTGTTTCCCTGCGCTTGATGGTGCTAGCGTCGCCTGCCTCAATCACGAGTCGCCGTTCCCGCCTCAACTTTATGGTTTATAATGGAAAGTTTGATATGAATGGTCAATCCGGGAGGCCTTCTGGTGTTTTGTTTGATGAGAAGTTAATTAGGAGTTTGCCTGCTCGGCAAGCGGACTGGGACGGATTTTCTACCTATTTTTTCTCGCTCCCATGTTTGTGGAGGTCGTCTGTCACTTCATTTCGGTAATTGTATCTGGTGATAACGCTGCTTGCTATAACGCTGAATCTCGATGAGTTCGCCTTCTATCCGGCGCAAGATCCGCCCGGTTTAATTTTCTGTCGTAGTTTGCTGCACAGCGTTGGAAAAGTCTTCACCTAAGAGCGGGATCGAAGTGATCGGTGCTTCGGAGTATCTATATTCAATCTCTGCATTATGTAATTCGTTGTTAGATTCGTGTAGTCAATTGGAAGGACTTCTTTTTAACTTACGTCTATGCTTTGGTATCTCAGCCGCGGGAGGCGCTGAGAAGCATTGCTGCTGAAGGCTAGGATCCCATATCGGGTGGAACTTGCCGCATGTGATCATCTACTCTAGAGTAATAAAACGGTTTTCCCACCCTTCCCAACTGTTTTCAACTTTTCCCAACTTCAAATTATGGGGACACATGGGTGATAATCATGGAGCGGCGGTGGACAACGAGGACGAGAGACCTAAAAATAACAGACGCGAGCCAAGCCAGCTGATATTTGAGTTAATGGAGTCAGTAATTAGTATTGCAGCTCCAGGAGGTTGGAGTATGCACCAATAAAGCTGCTTAAAATGTGACCGATATTTAACAACAGGAGAAAAATAAAATTGGAGAATACTTCAGGGAAAAGAACTAGAAGGTTTGACTGTTACTGCCAAGTTCATTCATGTTTGTTAAACTGAGTGGAACGGAACGGAACATAGCCAAAAGAAGAGATTGATTGGTCGATGTACATACATGAGGAGGCATGGAATGGAATGGGGGCCGATGACACACTGGGGTATAAACGTGCACTATTTGATACGTTCTGTTTCGTTTCGTTCCTCCTTGTTCCTTCCCATTCCTCTTGCTCTCAATGCACTTGGTATCCTTTGCCATGGAATCTGCTAGAGATGCAGCAAACTTCCGCCAAAAACTTGAGAAACTTCTTCCGCTTTTCGAAGGGGGAGATCCCGACCCCTTAAGCTTTCGCCAGAAACGACAATTTGAGGCTTGGAAAACTCTTCTTAATAGCGGCCCGGCTGACGGGAAACTCAAGAACTCGAGCACACAGGCGAAAAAAAGCACGAAGTTATGCGCTAAAAGTCAACGAAACTGCTGGACGCGAGACACTCTTGCTTTGCATATTGTGGCGGACATATTACTTGCGAAAACAGAATTTTCCCAGCCCCCTCTGAAAATTAGTAGCAAAACACCACCAAAAAATCAAAATATCTGCATTTCTCTAGAATCATTCAATATCATCCAATACACATCTTTTTCAATCAAATATCATCCAAATACGTGTCTTTCTTACCTTTATCATCAAATCCACATATATCAATCAACTCTTTTTTCAATATGCCTCGCAACGCCCGCCGTCCTGCTGCTTCACAAGCCTGTACAAAGACTTCTACCCTGCACCTCAGTCTCCTCAAACTACCTGTTCCAGAAGTTCTGGATAATGGAGAGGATCCAGTCAATGATGAGATGGAGGAGCAGGTGGATGAGAAGGATATAGAGACTCAGTCTGAGAATCCTTGATATCCGCGAATCCCTACACCTGAGCCTGACATCTCATACAGATTGTATGAACGGGTGATTATCAATGAGATAAAGAACAAGAGAGATGATAAAATGATTAATGAGTAGAAAGAAGAAGAAGAATCAGAAGAATGAATCTATAATTTCTACAATCAATTCTTCTATACAGATCTCTCAAATGTCAGTGATTATATTCTCTCCTTCAGCTCTGGCAGCTTCAACTTCATTCAATATGGCATTCTCAAGTGAGATAATCAATGTGATGATGATGAAATATATGATGAAAGGAATAGAAGAACTGAATTCACAATCTCATTATCATCCACATCCAGATCTGCTGTTGAATCTTCCATCAAATCCACCGTTGAATCTTCCATCGAATACACTGTTGAAATCTTCCATCGAATCCACCGTTGAATCTTCCATCGAATACACTGTTGAAATCTTCCATCGAATCCGCCGTTGAATCTTCCATCGAATACACTGTTGAAATCTTCCATCGAATCCGCCGTTGAATCTTCCATCGAATACACTGTTGAAATCTTCCATCGAATCCGCCGTTGAATCTTCCATCGAATCCGCCGTTGAATCTTCCATCGAATACACTGTTGAAATCTTCCATCGAATCCACCGTTGAATCTTCCATCGAATCCACCGTTGAATCTTCCATCGAATACACTGTTGAAATCTTCCATCAAATCCGCCGTTGAAATCTTCCATCAAATCCGCTGTTGAATCTTCCATCGAATACACTGTTGAAATCTTCCATCAAATCCGCCGTTGAAATCTTCCATCAAATCCGCTGTTGAATCTTCCATCGAATCCGCCGTTGAATCTTCCATCGAATACACTGTTGAAATCTTCCATCGAATCCGCCGTTGAATCTTCCATCAAATCCACCGTTGAATCTTCCATCGAATCCGCTGTTGAATCTTCCATCAAATACACTGTTGAATCTTCCATCGAATCCACTGTTGAAATCTTCCATCGAATCCGCCGTTGAATCTTCCATCAAATCCGCTGTTCCATCTCCAATTCCAAGCAGTCCAATACCTCAATTTGATGAATACTTCAATTGATTGACAAGGGAACAGTTGCTTCATATGAATATTGACAAGAGTATATTTCAAATTATAAGAGATGGATTAAAAAGTCCATTATAACAGACAAAATTGCAGAAATTCAAATCATCTTTATTCACTATTTATAGTGATGAGAACAGATCTCATACTGCTTTCACTTCTAAATTTATATTATAATGAATTGTAATCTGAATCTTTCTAATTATTATAATACTATTCTATATAAGTAGATCTGAAATATTCTTTTATATCTTTTTCTCTTATGAAGTTCTCAACTGCATGATACAAAAAAGCTTCAAAATCTCCATCAAATCTCTTCAGAATTGAAGAGATATCTGATATGATCTTTGACTTTATATCACATGTTGAACAGAGTTCTCTAGCAGTTTCAAAACAGTGAAGATTTCATTGAATTCAATATACACAGGTGATAATCAATGCTTCGTGCGATCTCAGCAGGCATATAATCATTCTTAAGAAGGTATACAATCTTGTTGGTGGTGAAATCACAGAGTTGAGGTGACATATTGATGATAAAGATAAGAAAGACACATATTTGAATGATATTTGATTGAAAAAGACGTGTATTGGATGATATTGAATGATTCTAGAGAAATGTGGATATTTTGATTTTTTGGTGGTGTTTTGCTACTAATTTTCAGGGGGGGCTGGGAAAATTCTGTTTTCGCAAGTAATATGTCCGCCACAATACTTGTATATTCCATTTCGGGTCTGCCAAAAATTGTATTTCCAAGATTCTATCGGGAGCTGAGGGAATGGTCACAAAGAGTGCAGTTCCCGGAGCCGTTGGTGGACCAGGCCTCCAAGCTTTGGGATGAACCAGGCCAACAAATATTACTACAACGGGGATCCAGCCCACAGCCTCCTGATACAGGAAACACTTCGCTAGGACAAACTATCGCCGAGGCAGCACTCCCTTCTTGTAAGATCCCAATACAAGAAAATATTAAGCACGAAACTAACTTCTTAAGATCAAAATGTCATTACTGTAGCGGACCAAACTTTAGACCCTAATCCCTTTAACGAACAATCCGATACTGAGCATCAACATGCAACTCGTCTTCGAAGCCCGACAAGTATGTACTGTAGAATTGAACCCCATATGGAAACAAACAAGGCTCTTGAGATGGCATTTCTTGTGCCCCCAAACCTCTTGGATATCTTCTATACGCTCCATAAGAATTCGATAAATTCTCAGCGGCACTCAGCCATCCTCACAATTCCGACGCAGGATCATGTCGCATCACTTGTTCTATCAATTCCACGAACCGAAGCAGTGTTGGAAGGCGATAAGCACAATTTACCCGTGATATTTAACTCCGGTTATCCTTCTGCGTGATAAGTTTCACCTCCACCAGCATCGCTTCGAAGGCGCAGTTTTTCGGGACTTTGCCTATAAATGTTCCATTCGTGTCATATACATCCCATATTTTTGTGGTAGTGCCAGCTTTGTACACCCTAATGCACCCGAGAACTTTATTTGATGTTTGAGGACGAAAAACGATGAGACGATCAGTCGGGTGGCCTTGTATCATTTTCACCATATAGGGTGTCCATTGACTGTCGATTTCCACCTGAGATTCTTGGAGTTCGTTGTCTAGCTGGATTGCACTTATATCAGTGTCAAAATCCTTGGAAAGTAATCAGACAGGATAGCAGACCTCTTTAGCTTTCTCCAAAATCTCGTCATCTTCTTCCGTATCTAGAGATATGTTCAAGTAGAACTGAGTCGCAGCCATTGTGGCTATCTTGGATGTGCAGGGAGAACAAGTGCTAAATGGATAGATTTTCATTAATTCTTCGGGTCGCAAAGCTGTGGACTTTATAGAAGTCTTGGGAGAAAAGTCAAACCAACCTCGTCAATCAGTCTGCGAGCCACTGTATCCTATCCCAAAAAAATGAAAATTTTGAGCGCTCAATCTCCTCCCAATACTCACGGGAGGAGGGGCAACCCCTCCTCATGTGACACGGGTGGCTGAGAGGGTTATTAGGCTGGTTTGGGCAGCAACTCACATTATTCTGGAAAAATCCAAAGCCTTCCTTGCCCGACACAACGGTAACTTTTAACTGCCTCAAGATAAATTTATATTTTTTTTCGATGCTCCAACTAGCCTTTCTGTGTCATTTAAGATGTAGGTCAATCAGCGCCTGCATGAAATGAGAAGAACATCTCTGCAAGGGGGAACGGGACGGATACGGACAAAACGGAACGGAACAGAATGGAATGGAACATAACAGATCAGGACGAAACAGCATGGAACGAACTGCAAAGCTATTTTAAGATGTGTTGACCATTATATCCCCATGGCACAATTGTTGCAAAGCGCTCATACGTGTTTCTCAACCTATAGTTCTAATTCGATACAGCTGGCATGAAGCAATGCAACAACTCTTCCTGATCGATTGTTCCGGCTGCACTGGGGTTCAGGGACAACAAACTTAGCATCCAATTTTCTTTTTCCTGAGCTGTCTGCCAATCGGACCGCCAAACGGAAGCGATAATCGTCCATCCATCATGGGCTGATAGCATCCCTTGTATCGAGGCAACCTTTGTGGCGTATGGCGACATGTGCCTCGCATGGCTCTAGGTCGGGATGAGCAACATTTTTACGTCTAGATATGCGCAGACGGTTCGACACGGTTAGTTCTCAGATCGACAAAATCACTTCGACGGGGACGAGACCATGTATCCTGCGGCACAATCTCATGCATCCTAGTATTTACAAGGAAGACGACGAAAGAATAGGTGCCGGGAGTGTTGGCAGAATTGCTTATAAGGAGGCACGATTCCCCCCGAATCCTGAGGCAATGAACAGACATTCAAGACACTCGCAGACCTCATCAAGCCAGTTCCCCAGACCAGTTTCCAAGCTCTCTAGTGCTTGCAAGCTTTACACATTTCACTCTATCGATTAGCACAATGCCCGGACCAACAAAGTCCAATGCCAAAGCGCCAACCACCCCTTCGCGAGCGCCAACACCTCCATGCACCCCCATCGATGAAAGTCCCCGGCGGAGCGTGACACCAGGAGATGGGTATCAGCATTCCGAACTGAAAGAACTCGTAGAAGCTCTTCGCGAAACCAGGGTGGATTCCACCACCTCCAAACCCAATCCCTCGGAAGACACTGCAGGTGGGTTTGCCAGCCCTAAGCAAGATGGTAGAAAGGTTGTTCAGGAACTGGGTAATTGATATCTCAACTGGAACTGAGAGCATATGCTGACATGTGTTTAGAGACTGTTGAATAATGCTTCTAAGTTGAAGCCGCAAGAGCAGGAGATATCTTTCTCACGCAACCCCGAATCTGAATCGCCCGTGCTTATGGATAAATATATGCCAGACATACCACCCACTTGGATGGAATGTGATCCCATATTTATGGATAACGAGAAGATTGGTTTCGATCCTGCGATGAAAGAATGTTCCGAGATGAGAACACCTAAAGCTAGCAAAGAAAACATGGAGCAGTCAGGCACGCCGGTTGTTGATGCAGCACAGTATGCCTGGGGTGAACGCAAACCGTCACCTACCAGCGCATTGGCTGATGCGGACAGCTGGGTTGCTAAAGCCCGCAAAGAAAGGGGAAAACCGGAGAATTATGTCAGGGCACGCGCAATTGCCAACCCCACTGACTCTTTCGAGGGTCTTGCGGAGAGTTCCCAGGCTCAGAACGCTTGATCCACCGCGGAAGTCTTCTTGCGTCTCGGTTTTATGCTTGTATAATGGAAAGTTTGATGTTAACGATCAATCTGGGAGGCCCTCTCGTGTTTTGTCTGGCGAGATGTTAACTCCGAGTTGACGTTCTCGCGAGGTGGACTGGGACGGATATTCTATCTTTCTGCTTCACGTTTCTCTGTCGGTAAATTGTATCTGATGATAACGCCGCTTTAATGCTGAATCTCGATGAGTTCGCCTTCTATCAGGCGCAAGATCCGCTATACCGTAGCTCAATCAGTGATAGAAGCTGGTCAAATTTTGTAAACATCGCTTGAATCGTACGAATCGCGTTTGATTGTCTATACTTTTGCGTTTTCCGTACAGAACAGTTCGATAAATGGAAGTTAATTATCTTGTAAACCCCATTTCTAGATGCACATCAACAGGAAGCGTGGAAGACGATCCCTAAACCAGTCCCTATTTCATTAGCCAACAAATCCCATACATGGTGCGGCCTGTACCAAATACAAACATAGAGCAGCAGCCACAGCTCCTTCGCTGGTCTATGACTTTTGACCGAAGTACTCCATAGGTACAAACCTTAGTGGGTTCTGTGGCAGGCAAACCAGTACACTTTCCAATCTATGCCGGCTGTTACATTATATATGCTGGTATATCTCCCTCCAGGTCTCCCTCTAGGTAAACAATTAAATATCGGCCAGTCGCTGGTCGTCAGTCCAGTCCTCCATTGGGGTTATACAAGGCAAAAAGGCAAAAAGGCAGCCTAGCACACTCAAGACCCATAAATTTTCCCCGTGAGAGAATCTCTCAAGCAAGCCAGTTCCCCAGACCAGTTTCCACTTCCTTATCCATCAACTACCACAATGGCTCAAGCAATGAAGCTCAATGACAAGGCCCCTGCCAATACTCCGCCGGCCCAAACGCCTCCATGCAACCCCACCGATAGAAGTCGACAGCAGAGCGTGACAACAGGAGATGGGTATCAGCATTCTGAAGCGAGAGAACTCGTAGATCCTACTTGTTACCTCACCACTCAGTACTCAGATAGAGTAGCCCCAAGCGGCGACTCGGATTGTCTAGATCTACTCCCAATAGAGCAGGGTCGAGAAAGAGGAATTCTTGATGGTAAGCCCCTGCATTCGTGGTTGTTTCACATCTAATATCTCATTAGGCTTTCGAAGTTGGTGGGGTTCGTACGCCGTCGTTTTTCAAGAGGCCTGGCTGGTTTCCCAGGCGTGCATGATCGCTTCCGTTTATGATCGTTTACTTGTATTTCCTGACCATCAATATTAGTTTTCCATAGCACCCAGAGGACGACGGGTATCATACAGTCTTTCCGAGTGAGCGACTCGTGGGATGTTTAGTTTCCTGCTCACAGAAAGGATATCTTTGAGAGAGATTTGCGGATAATGAAATTGATTTCGATCCTGCGATGAAATGTGTTAGCACAGAGACCATGGGCAGGTGGTCTGAAACTCCCTTAAGCTGCATATGCGACCGCTGAATGCCTCATCCAAATAATGGCCTGCTTCTAGAGCGCTGATGATGTCCTCTGGCACACCCACCTGCAGTGTCTTCCGAGGGATTGGATTTGGAGCTGGTGTAATCCGCCCTGGCTTCGCGAAGAGTTTCTACGAGTTCTTTCGCATCGGAATGCTGATACCCATCTCCTGTTGTCACGCTCTGCTGGGGACTTTCATCGATGGGGTTGCATGGAGGCGTTTGGGCCGGCGGAGTATTGGCAGGGGCCTTGTCGTTGAGCTTCATTGCTTGAGGCATTGCGGTAGTTGATGGATATCCAGAATATAATGTTTTCCTCCTTCCCCCCACCACCTCGACTGCACCTGCGGCCTCCCACCTCCTTTTAAGCTGCTAAGTTTCACATAGAACAAATAGAAAATATCATTAATAGAATTTGATCTTCTGTCTACTTTATTGAGGTGTCTGGTGGCGGCGGGGTCTCTAACATGGAGACGCCCACTGACCCTGGGGACGGGGAATTTTGGCCGCGCAGTGTTAGGCGGTCTCCATCACGCTTCACATCTACGAGCAAAGTCATTGGAGGGTGGATGATGTGCTGTCGACCCTTCCGCGCCATCAATCCTGGAGAGAGCGATCCGGGACTACAAGGCGCGGAATATATTTGTGTATGACAAGGATATGCGGGCGGTAAGTGTCTCAACCAGCTTTCAAGCAGCAACATCAGATGGGGCCAATGTGCTGCTGTTGATTCCCAAGGAGGTAAAGTCACATGTTCAAGCACATATGATAAAGCCGCCCGCCAGATTGCACAAGAGAGGGAAAATTGATCATAAAAGTTAATTAAATATGCAGACAGGATATGCTGATAGACTTGAGCCTGTAAGCACAATGAGAAGAGATTTTCAAGAGTGATATAGTCTTGTTCTGACATAGCTGCTGTGTCACCCAGCTCATTACACAATAAATCATTAGACAGCAGACTCAAGATGAAATACAGCATGTACTAACAAGAATATGAGTCTACTATCAAGAGATCAGACATGTGATATTTCACTCATGAAGAATGATCTAGAAGGTTTCTCTTAGATTTGTCATTGTCTTGTGTACATTGTCTCAAGACAAAATTCATCATGAGACCTTCAATTCATCTCTATGAGTGATTCATGATGTAATCAGTCTCAGTAAAACATATTTCACCCACACGAACCCTCGGAGCAGAGGGATGAATATCTTCACGCAACAGTTCCGAAGATATGCTCGAGACTCCATCCGAAAAAAAGTACAGAGGAGATCATGTTGAGTAGTCTACAAGAACCAGTGGCAGAAAGAATAGATTTCTTTTTAATTTTCTATTGTGATCAAGTGTCAGACTGCAGAAAGCTCGGTTGAGACTTGAAATAATATATAATTCAACAGCATCTGAGCACTTATCTATCATTCTTGAATGAACTGCATAGAGATTCACATCTTCTGACTATTAGCTTCATGCAGAACATCAATCAACTATCAAGATCATCTCAAAGTCACGCCTTGACGTTCTTCTGGTCTGGACCGTCAAGGTTGCGAAACCTGTTGAAACTCATACATCAGATCTTCGAAGCATCAATCAGACTGAGACACTACTCAACAAGTTGAAAGACTGCAGTGATTGTAGTACTATGAAAACCTGAGAAATCAGACTACATGATTTCTGAAGCATACTGCCTGATCTCACTTCTTAATACACTGAAAAAGATTCTGAAGAGAGTGATTATGAAACATCTTATATATTACACAGAGAAATATAATCTTCTCTTAAATACATAATTCAGAGTTAGATTAGACAGAACTATAGAATAGATACTTCTAATTCTGATTAGTATTATTAATCAGATCTGAAAATATAATAGAGTTCTGACTCTAATCTTCTTTAATATTAAAGAGATCTTTAATGAGATAAATAAATACACACTGAAGATCAGACTTAGAGAGATGAGAATTTCTCAGATAGTATATAGATAAGTTCAGAACTTCATGAAAAATAAATTTATTAATATTAAATTTAATAATTTCAGTACTGAGATAGTTTTATTTTTTAATATTAATCTTACTCAAAAATCTTCTCTCTTTTTAATTCTTTTTATTATCTTCAACTTAAATCTGATTAATCAATTAGTAGATTATAATAAAGATATATTTATCTTTATAGATAATTATTTTCACTGAAGAATTAGATTAAATATAGAAAGTAATCTATAAAAGATTTAATAGATAAATATCTTTAGAATTAAAGAATAAGTAAGATAAATAGATTTATAATTCTTAACTAAGAAGATAAAGCTGATTCATTTTATCAGAAGAAAAAGAGATTAAATAATAGAATTTATTATAATAAATAAATATATTATTTTATTATTATCAGAGATTAAGCTTCTAAGAGTATATTTTAATTAGAAATTAAAATGAAAAATATATATATAATATATAATTAAGAGAGTTATTAATATATATATTATTATTAAATATCTATCTTATCTATAGTTAGAATAGATAAGATAGTTTTATATTATCTATATAATTCTTTAATTAATATATATCTTTACAGTATAATATAATCTCTTAAAGAGAGTTATATAAGTCAAGACTCTTATCAAGATTCAGTGAACAGCTCTGATCAGAATTCTATTCATATTTTAAACAGTAATAATATAAACTCTTGAAATGAAAATATATATTTTTTCTCTATATACTCAGCTATAATAGTAAGTTTAAGATATTATTATTAGTCTTTATATATTCTTATAATTTTATCTAATATATAAGTCTCTTAGAAGAGTTATAACAGATATAATCTATAATAAAGACAGATATTATTACTTACTAGAGAATATAATAAGAATATTTTATAGAGAGAAGATAAAATTAATAGAGATAATTAATTTATATCTCTCAGAATTATAATAGAAGTCAGTACTTAAAGACATCTATTTTAACTCTAATAGAATCAGAGTCATTGAAAGAGCTATGAAAATAATAAAGAATTTAATTAAAACAGTCTTTATTAATACTGTAAAGAAGAACTTAATACTTAAAATAGTAGTATTAATTATAAATAAATTATATTATATTCAGTATAATATATAAGTTAGTATTAAGTGAGAAAAGTACTGAACTATTATAATAGCTAAGCTGTTAGTGATATATTATAAACTCTATCTAATATAAAGATCTTACTCAAGTGAGAGAACACTGTCTTCTTATTAATATTATATATATATCATTCTCAGTGACTTCTATACTGCTCTTCAAGTCATTATAAATATTTTAAAATAAGTTAAAGAATAGATAATTCAGAACATTCTGTATATAATAAAAGAGCTGAGATTTATAGATATAGATCTCTATCTTTAGTAAGTATTAGAGTATAGTAAAATTAAGAAAAATAAAATAACTAATCAGTTTATTAAGTAGTTAATTAACTCAAACTTAATATATAATTTCTCAAAGTCTGTCTTATATCTTAGAGAAGCCAGTTATAACAGTATTATATAAAAGTAAAGAGATAAATAATTCTTAACAGTAAAGAAAATTTATCTATAGAAGATAGATATATCTCTCTCAGATTAATATACTTATTATTTATATATTATTCTTTCAAAATCTTAAGTAAGACTTCTGATATAACTCAGAATAAGTCACTTATAACTGAATAAATTTTGAAACTGAATAAAATACACTGATAATAATAAATATAAATATAAAGTAAAAGAATTAGTTTATTATATTCTAGTAGACTATTTAAAACTGTAGTAATAATATCAGATTCTGTAATAAAAGATCAGAGATAGATTTAATAATATCTCTCTAATATTAGAGAATAAATTATCAAACTAAATAATAAATGAAACAGAATGAAAAATTAGTAAAAGAGATCTTAATATAATTCTAGACTTTACTGAAAGCTTGAAAAGATTTCAAGATAGAGATAACTAAAGTAGATTACTTACAGACTCTGATAAGATATTAAGATTATATATATAATTAGACTTAAAAGAATAGATGAAAGTAGCTATAATAGTAATAGTCTGTATATTCTGATAAGAGAGAGATCAGAGTAGCTGATTCAATCAATGAAATTAATTAATTAAGATTGCGAAACCGTATCAATACTGTATCAATACTGTTTCTCTTACTTACAAGTATTAAGAATTCATCAAAACAGTCTAAATAGTCTATAGTAAAAGGTCTTGAAAGAGTGTTTAAGTTGTACTTTTTCTTCTCTTTGTTCTCTTTATTCTCTTTGTTTGATTTCTTCATTTTGTTTCACTTTACTATTTCTTCATCGTCACTAAAACTATTACAATACAGATGTGTATCTAGAAATAGAATTTACAGAAGTAACTAACTTTCATAGACTATTAAACTGTTCAATACAGAAAACATAAAAGTACAGATAATTAAATATTGCACTGAAGAATGTAATTCATAAGATTCAGTGTTATATTCAGCAGTGTTATCACTAGATACAATCACACGTCTGAAATCATTTTACAAATAATGCCGCGGCTATATTTGCCACTTAAAACCCGGAATTTTTAATTTTCTGAATGCTTAATTTCTTCATTAATACAAAGCAAAGATAGTTCTATTTTTAAGTAACTAATTTTCTTTTTAATTTCAGGTTAACAGTCTCTCTAAGTCAGCCGTCTTTCTCAGATAGATAAAGATTATGAATAGAGAAAAGTTTGAAATTTAAAAATCTAAAAAACAAGTGTAAGTCTTCTTAAGTTTAAGAAGATTTTCAGAAACTAAAGAACTATAATATTTAATATTAAAGTATAGTCTTTCTCAAGCTTAGAGAGTACTTAAAGAATTAAAATAATTATCTTACAGACTTTAAAGAAGAAATATCTTAAGAATATTAAATAATTATTAAAGAGCTGTAGATTTATATAAAAATTTAATTAATATTTAGAAAAGATATAGATATTAATATTTATAGTAATACTTTTTAAAAGTCTTTTTATATTATAATTTATAATAAATAAATTTTCATCTATTCACTCTTATTCTTAAGTTTTTCTTATATAATCTTCTTCTTTTCTCTGAGCTTTGAATATTTTATATAGTTCTTATATATTATTTGAGTTGAAGAGAAGTAATACTTCTTCTATTACTATCAGAGTGTGTCTTTTCAGAGCTGTACTAAATATAGTACTTACTATATCTTTATCTGATGATAAAAAGTGACTGCTTAAAGTATCAGACTTGTTAAAATTAATTATAAAGTATTAATTATTTTTATAAAGAAGAAGATA